GGTACTCCCAAGTGGACAACTTAAGAGGGAAAGGCACGGGACCGTTGATTGCACCGTTGTCTACCGCAAATAAGCCTTTCTGATTTAAAAGGGTAATTTTCGAAAGAGCGTGGACACTCATCAAGCGCCGCTATGTTGATAATTGGCACGAGTGGAGTATGATGTGGAGCATACTTTATGTAGGAATAATAACAAGCTACCAAGTATTTGCATGATAAAATATGTAAAAGCAGTAAATAAGATAGCAAAAGTGAACATGGAAAGAATAGAGAAGAAAGACAAAAGAAAGAAGTCAGTTTAGTTCATAAAAAAATGTGCGAGAACGTAATGAAGCAGGTAAGGAAGTAGGGATAGGAAAGGCATGATATACACATTTTAGACAAGGTGAAAAGAGATGAAGAGTGGTCACAACAAACAAAAAGAGAATAGGGGAAAGGATGTCATAGCAAATTTAAACAAATAAAGGTGAATAGGGGAAGGGATGTGCATGTCATAGCAAATTTTAACAGATAAAGGTGAGTAAGAGTGGTGCATGTAAGAAAGTAATCCACAAAAGTCAAGTTCGTTATGTAAGAGCCTAAGTGTAAATCTGCAGCAGAGTCGTCATGCTGTCGCGTCCTGTTTTATCGTGAAAGCGGGTTTCGACGAGTGAAAACTCTTTTAAATGGGTACTAAAAGAGAAGAGTCGCCACCTAACGATTTTAAGGTGTGTTAGGGCACTCATTTTTGCGAATAACTCTGTTTGACTAGTCCGTGTTACCAAAGATCTGGTAAGGGCTCAAATTACCTCAAAGAGAAGGTGTTAAGCACTCTTCGAGGTCCACAACTGTGAGTCCCGGCCAAACTTTAAACTATGTGGATTGTGTAATTAGGCTAGGCGACCAAATAAATAAAGGAAAATTTAGAAGTTGAAGAATCTTATTAAAACATATGAGAATCAGTACAAATCTTAATGATTACAAGGATACAACTACATCAATTTATGTTAAGTGACTAAGTGTAAATAACAAGTACATAAAGAAAGGAGGGGGAGTCCTAAGTTGTTTAGCCTAAAGGACCACCCCGTGAAACATACATAATACTAGATCACCCCATGCAACATAAATAATACTTCGCAACTTCCTTGAGGTAGGGGTTGCTCATATTATTTAGCGGGCACACTATTATCTCCTGCTACCCAATTACTATGTTGAAGTTGTTTACTCAAAGGTGATCTAATTCAATTCTAAGCCGCGTCCTATGCGTGCACTACCCGTCCCATGCCTACGGTCCAGGAGGCCTTGGACCTCTATTTGGATGGTTTAGACTTACCTAGGATGCTCAAAATGATAAAAACTAGGCGACATTCAAAATAATTAGGACTGCACATAATAGCAATGAAAGGCTCAAGTTAACCTCCACACATAAGCACAAAAAAGGCACGCGATCAGTCGCGATTTTCAGGTTAGGTAGTGCACGTTAATAATCGTTAAGTCCTATAGGTAGGATCTTTGTGTGATTCTGATTTCCAGTATTATATAAACATCGCTCAGGTAGACTAAAACATTGCAAGTCCTATGGGCATGATTTCTAATTGATTCTGATTTCCAGTATTACATATAAACAGCGTTTAGGCAGATTAAAACATTATAAATCCTATAGGCATGATTTCTAATTATTTGTGCAACAAGGTAGTGAAATGATCTCAGAATCCCGAATTACCAGTGCTGGTTTTATGGACATGCTTCTCAGATAGATGACAGTGTCCTACAGACGTGATTTCTAGCAGTTGAAATTGATTTTATATATGTATCCCTATAGGTATGTCATCTAAGTGCGGCGAAGTAACAAAGTGGTCGATTAATTGATTAAAATCCTATAGTTATGATATCTAAGGAGCGGTGTGTTAAGAGCAATAGAAATAATTGATTGATTGGTTAATTGAGACCCTATAGACATGGTATCTAGATGAGCAGTAATGAAACATTTGTTATTTATCCTATAAGCATGCTTCCTACATACAAAACCAAATAGCATATAAGGTATGTTGAAAAAATAACAAATAAACCACATAAATCCTATAGGCAGGTTTTCTACCCTTTCATGCAAATATTATAATATACCCCTTTCCCCAAATTTCACAAAATTTCCCCATTATTCAGTTTACAAGTGATTACAGTCCAAAATGGAATAATACGAACTTAAGGTGACCGGAATACAGACTGAAAAAAATACAGGCCCTATCAAACAGTATAGTCCTGCTACAAAATAACCTAGTGAATTTTTGGGCCTTCAGCAACCTCATCAACCAACAGACCCAAATCTCAGGATTCTAAGGGCAGTAGAGTCTTCCCAGGTCCAACAACACATATAGCCTAACATCAGGCCCAATGAATAACTTACTTGGCCAAATGGATGCCAAACGTAACCATACAGGTGACAAACCACTCATGGAATTGATTAACAACTTTTCACCATTCACTCATAAAGTTGTAACCAACGACAGTTCAAACCAAAACACATAGACAAGAGTACAGGAAATACAAACAAGTTCACAAGGCAGATTCATGCTTGCATTTTCAGAAACAAAGCTAAAGTAACAGAATTGACCATCATAGGATAGTGGATTATTCCAAAAGAGTTTCAAAAATAAACTGACTCAAAATTAGCCTAGAGAACTTTAGACACAGGATTTAAACATGAATTCCTAATAGAGTCATAGACAAGAATAAGTAGAGCATAGCCTTCAAATGAAAGTTTTGACATGAAGCTTAATAACAGAACAAGTTCACGATCGAGCAATCACTTAGTTGAGAGTGACAAACTTTAACATGCTGAGTGTAGTTACAATACCAGAAAGCTTACAATAAGAAAAAACATGTCAACTTCACATCAATAGGACAGACAAGCATCAAACCTTATATTAGTTGGCCATATATAGGAGGGAATGCTCTAAAGGTATCAACTAATACTTGAGGAACACAGGATTGATCAAGTTACAAACACACTAGAACTGCAAATAGCATGTGAACAGGTCATAGCTTAACTGTAGAACAACGTTTGGCATAAATTTCTCAACAGGGATTAGCACGCATTCTAGGTATGAGTTGGTTATTCGTAATAGTACATGACAAGGCCAGAAACCAAACTCAGAATGAGCAACGGTAATAAGTATTCAAGCATATACATTAGCAGGTAGGCTTAAGACGACAGAATCAAAGTAACAAATAGGCAAGTTTAACTACTAGAAGGCATAGAGCCTCAAGAAGAGCTTAAAAACATATAATGGCATGTTGATTCATACAAATTCTTAGAGACATAGATGTGCAGAGCAGGAATACAAACAAAAAGAAATGAAATTGCAAGAGTCATAGATACATTACCAGTTACAAAAGAACAAGTAAACAAGATGAGTAATTTCAGCAACACTTCAGTGTTAATAGAAATACGAACAGTAGAACCCAGGAATCTTAGTGCGTCAGAGTTCAAGTGGTTTCAAATGAACCCCGGGCAGTGCTCACACCGAGAAAGGTTCGAGAATTAAATTCCGGTGCCCTTGGCTTTCAGCCAGCCAAAAGATGGAGCCTCAAAATACTATAAACAAGAAAGAATAAGAGAACAGTAGTAGCTTTTTGCGATTGGAGTCTCTCTCAAGGGGAAATTGGGGAAGGGTTTATATAGCATCAAAATCAAGTACCCAAACAACGAAAGATAGTCTATTAAACACAGATAATTAAAATATATCATACAAAATCAATTAGAATCAATTTAGGGAAATCCTGAAAAACCCTAGCTTAATACAAAGAACAAAAATAGTAAAAATCTCACTGAATCGGACACATAGGGCCTGGTAGTAGGTGTATATAGACGAAATATCGTCTAAATCTCGAAGGTCTGGAGATGGTTGCTTGATTTAGGACTGTACATTTGCCAAAGATAGACAAGTATTATGTGATACCAATACCATATAAATAATAAAGAGATCGAACATATATGGAAGGAAAATCATGGGGAGATTCCATATTAGAACTGGAATTGGGGAAGATTGAGGAGGCGACTGTCAAGGTTTGAGAGGAGTAGAAGAGAGTAGAGAGGATTTTAGGGCGGTGGTCTCAGGGAAATGGGTGTTACGGTTTTGGGTTGGGTAGTTTAAAGATGGGTGATGGCATGTGGGCCACTGATCTCCGAGATCAACGGTTGAGATAGAAGGAAAGAGTGGGACGGGTCGTTTAAAATGGGTACCGACCGGGTTAATTTAAAGGGGTTATTTGGTTTGGGCTATTGATGCTGGGCTAAAGGGAATTGGGCCAAGGTTTTGGTCCGAAATTAGCCCTATATTCGGCCAATAATTAAATACACAAAAATTATTTAAAAAATAATTTATAAAAATAATTAATCGATAATAAAATATTACTTGTGCATTAAAATGATTGAAAAATAATAACTTAAAATTATAAAAATATAAAAATGCTATTTTAGCATGAATACTGTAATAAATATAATTAGGCATAACGTATAGGCTATTATTGTAAAATTATGTAAATAGCCTAAAAAAAACAAATATAATTATATAAATGAAGTAAAAATATTATGAAACATATATGTGGATGAAAATAATAATTTTGGATTATTAAGTAATCATAAAATAATTTAAGGGAGAATTAATAAATACTCAAGTAATCTAAATGCAAGAAAATTAATTTTAAAGCTCTAAAAATTATGGAAAACTATAGAAAATGCTCGTATGACTCTTATAGACTAAGTAATGATGCATAATGGTATTTTGAAAGTATATATACTATTTACAAAAATATGAGGGCAAAATTGGATATCAACAGGGATCTCCTTTGCATGCCCGACCTAGTGCACATATCCACGCTGAGAGCTTCTTTTCCGTCTTCTTTGGGTACACCCTACACTTTTTCATTTGACTCTCTCCAAGTTTCTCTTTGAACGCCCCCTTCTCCTTCCATCTTGAAGATCAGTCGTTCTTCCCCCACTCTGAGCATGAGCTGCATTTTCTAAATGTCTAGAATTGCTCTGCCCATAGCCAAGAAGGGTCTTCCTAAAATCAGCAGGACCTCCCCATTCTCCTCCATGTTCACCACAATAAAGTCCACAAGGAACACTAATTTTTCCACCCGAACCAGCACATCTTCCACTATTTCTTTAGGTATGATTTTAGTCTGATCCGCCAGTTGCAAGGATACATGTATCGACCTGATTTCTCCAATCTCTCCCTCCAATTTCCTGAAAATAGACAAAGACATACGATTAATAGAAACACCTGAATCACATAAAGATTTTTTAAATTTAGTACTTCCTAAAGAGCAAGGTATAGTAAAACTCCCTGGGTCTCCACAATTTTGAGAGAGCTTATTTGCAAAATGACACAAAAATGCTCTATGAGCTTGACCACCAATGTCTCTTCCACTTTCCGCTTCTTGGACAATATCCCCTTCAATTTTTTTTGCATAAGTTGGCATCTGTGAGAGCACCTCTGTGAAAGGTTTATTCACATGCACCTGCTTGAACACTTCCAGAAAGCGCTCGAATTGTTTGTCCAGCTTTTCTCTTCTTTGCTTCTGGGGGAAAGGTAGAGCAGACATGTATTTGCTCTCCTCAATCTCTTTATTCATTGAAATTCCATCTTCCTTCTTCTTCTGAGCTGTAGTTTCCCCCCTCATCTTCAGACCATCATCTACCATCACTTCTCCTTCTTGAATGTTGCTATTTTCTACTCCACAATCTCTACATATCCTTCAATCAACTCATTCTTTTGTTTTGCTCTGGGATCCTCCAATACGTGCCTACTCCTCAAAGACACTGCATTTATTGTCTATTTTGGATTTCGTTTAGTATCAGCACAGAGAGTTCCTGGAACCCTCTCAAATAATAGATTTGCAAGTTGCCCCACCTGCCTTTCCAAGTTTCGAATGGTCGTGCCCTATTATCGAATAGCTATGCCATGTTCTCATATCGCTGAGCCATGGGTTTCAAGCCTCTCATCTGTCTTAATAATAAAGGCCTTCATCAGACTTTCCATGCTAGACTCATTAGACTGCGGAGGCTGATATTGCTGCCTCTGCTGATATTGAAAACTTGGAGCTCCTTGTCCTTGGGTTTGGAGTTTTTTTTTCTGCCATGAGTTTAGGCTAGTGATCTCGTCTAAATCACACCTCAAATTAAGGTTATGAAACGATCGATTACAATAGTAATACCCAACAAGGAGTTGGGGTCGATTTCCACAGGGAGCTTTGTGTGGGATTTGGGAGTATAGATTATAGTGTATGGGTATGAACTATCTCAATTTACACTTCCACAAATTGATGTTGTTTCTATGTCTATTTTAAACTATGATTGTAAGATTAAGAAACTAAACTAAGAAATTATTTTGTTGTTTTTCAAGTTTTGTAAAAGCCTAGGGCTATAACCATCACCTAGGTGTTTCCTAATGGGATATAAACCTTAATGCTTGTTTTGTTGGTCGGGGTGTATTATAGCTATCAACACTTGATTACCCACTCAATACCTCTCGGTCAGAGAGTGATTTTGCCTAATTTGGCTTTCTCAAGTCCAAATGGGTATTGCACAAAACGGTTGATAAAAGCTCAAATTGGGTTACTACTATCTCTAGGTTAAACCCTTTAATTGGGATCATCAATCTCTTGATTGACCCAATTTCTTGTTAGCCAAGTTTTCCTAGACTAAGTCTCTCTTTCTCAAGTAGAGAATAAGTCAAATAGGCATGAACTAATATTTGCAATCATTAATTCCACAAATTAAAGCATGAACAAGGCTAAATAATAAACACCCAACCACAGACAAGCATTAAATCAAACACCCATAAGGTTTACACACTAGGGTTGGGTCACAACCCTAGTAAAAATCTAGCTACTCATGCTTGAACTTGAAGAAATAGAAGAAGAGATGCTAATTAAACTCATATTGCAAAATCAAAATGACAAAATCTATATTAAAATATCCCAAAATATGAAAAACTACTAAAAGAAGTAAAGAGAAACGACTACTGTAGCTGCTGATGTCAAAAGTTCACCTAAAAATGTGAAACACGTCTATTTATAAAGGGCCAAAAATTTCGGATAAAAATGCCCTTCGGGAGGTTCTACGACTGCACAATTCCATGTGCGGTCCGCAGAATTCTTTGACTTGTCAGGATTGGAAGTCTGCGACCGCATAACTCTGATCTGCGGTCGCAATGCACTCTTTCTGTGGTCCGCATAATTGTAACTACGACCGCATCTTGCTCTTCCGCGGTCCTCACTTTTACATTTGCGGCTGCATAGCTCTTCTTCTACGGCCGCACAATTCTTATGCGGTTCGCACTTCTAGGGGACGTGGAATGTACATTCTCTGAAAGTTTGGTCCTAGACTTCGTTTGTGGCTGCACAATTCATGTGCGGACCACACTTTGCACCTTTCTCTGCTGACCTTTCCTTCATACTCTGCGGCCACAGATGATATTCTGCGGTCCGCACTTCTGAGCTTCTGTACCATTTGTGCCCTTGAGTTCAAATTACTCCTTCTTGAGTTGGATTTCATTTCGGGAGTTCACCTTCCAATATTCCTGCAATTAAGCATATTTCATCAGTTTTCAAGAACATACTTGAACGCTTTTAGACTAAAACAAAAGCTAAAAGGCGCTAATAAGTAGTCAAAATCCCCACTTATCAACTCCCCCAAACTTAAGTCTTTGCTAATACTCAAGCAAATAAAATAGTTCCCACCTCCAAAAGTTAAAGGACATTATAGCCAGCCACAGATGACTTATTCACACCTCAGCTGGGACCAACAATTACCCACACCACTCATGCATTATTGACAAGGAAACAAGTTAAACATTTAGGCACATATAGATCTAATGTGACATTCGAGCATCAAGGGTTGTCTTAGCTCATCAAGGACTTCCGCTCTATCTTGTAGGTCATGGTGGATCCTAAACTCCCCCTCCTCTAATCTCCATTTTCCAAGCTCACTTAAGAATTTAGCACTCAATTCAAATTTACGAAAGGTTTACTTATCTCTCTCAAGAGAATGTCACAAGCACGGCTTCTGGTACCATAAGCTTGCCCCTCATGTAAATCACCACTAATGTAGCTCAGTCGGCTCGAAATCAAGTAGGACTTCTTTTGGGATGTAATGAAGGCTTTTGGATTAGGGATTGATACAATATGGATAAGTGGTTACACCTTCCTTAAGCACTCTATCTTTCAATTCTCGGCTCACACTTTACCGATTCTTGAGGCACTTTCTTTTCCTTGGGGGACTAGAGAGACTTAACATCAGTCTTTATTGATCATTTCATTCATATTTCTCCATGTTTGGGCTCATTGCCTTTCTTTGAATCCCTTCAACTCTTTCATTTATTCACTTTTTGCATTCTTCTTTTTGTTCTTTGCCTTTACTTCTCGTCATTTCCTTTTCTCTTTTTGTGCCTTAATACCTTTCTTTGATTTCCTCGCCTCTCCCCCAAACTTATGTTTTTAGCCAATTGTTTCACATGAGTGTTAAGGAAAGCTCGGGTGCCAAGAGCGGGTCACCATAGAATGGGTAAAGGCTTGTAACATGGTTTTCAGATGAGAAAGGCTAAAGGCTCGAAGGGTTTGACTAGGGATGACATCATTGGTAGACAATAGAAAACTCAAATGGGCCAAGGAAAGCCTACAATCACTTCTCAAGCCAAGCAAAACTTATGATTTCTCCTTAAAAATATTCGGGGCAAGTTCTAGACCTTCCGTACAAGTACTCAGACTAGCAATAAAGCATCTCACCCCTCATGCAACTAGATTGTTAAAGAGGATAGAGTCGAGGGCCCATAACAACCACATTCAATATTGAAGATCACTGTGGTCCAATTAGACCATTCGATGGTATCAAGTTCAACACAAGAGTCACAAAGTCACTAAATAGAGCTATTTCCTTTAAAAATCCTTGCCTTTAACCATAAGCACGTAGTTAAATGTGTTGGTGCCAAATGAAGCATGTTTGACTCTTCGAGTTTGACTTAATCAGGTCTTTTTATTCACTAGTACTACCTAGACACCAAAGACGGACTCAATCCCTTAAGAAGGTTGTTGCACCATCCATCTTTGGGAAGAGTCACCCGGTTCACACAAAAACTACCTTTGGAAAGAAGCGTGACATTAAGAAAACCAAAGTCTTATTGTCCACTAAAGCATAAAAAGAAGCTACTAAATCAAAAAGAAGCTACTAAATTAAACATTAACTAATAAGAAAACAAAACAAAGAAGTTACAAAGCAAAACTACTGAAAGCGTAACGAATATACATAATGAGAGAGGAAAAGAGAGAATATATACACCATGAGAGAATGTATACAGAATAAGGAGAAATAAGAAAATACTGTCAGTTATTACAAACCAAATGTCTCAAAATCATCCAAATAGCTCAAATAAACTCCACCCCCCGAATAAAAATAAGCATTGTCCCCAATGCTTAACAAAATAAGAGTAAGGGAAGGGTAAGAGTGAAGAAGACTCCCTATGTGGCCTTGGACATCTCTGTGTCCGTAGCAGCGTCACCGCCCTTAGTCTCCTCTTATTAGATCTCATCATCCTCAACTCTGGGAGTAGCTGGGTTGGTGAACAACTGGCGTACCACCTCGGCGGTATCGGCAGCTAGGTCTGGCTCCTCAGACTGGCCAGCTGGTGCCACTGGAGGTGATGGTGCTGCTGGTGTTGCTGGATTTGACTTCATCAACATGTCAAATGGTATATCTCCAGCTGCTGCAATCTTGGTCACCTCCCTCCGCAGCCTGTCAAATAATTTCTTGGACGCATGGGATTTCCTCATTTTCTTTACCTGCTTTCCCAATTCCTCAATCACTGATCCGTGCGCTACCATGGTGTTTATTATGGTGGTCTTGTTCTCCAAGAGCTTCTTCGATGTCTCCTCCATTGTCGGAGGAATCTGGGGTGCCGGAATGGATGACTGCGCTGCAACAATACTGTATATGTCAGACATCTTTGCAGTGGCTGTCTGCATCCAGTTGTTGAGGCTCGCTAGTGTCTAGGAGATTCGCAACACAGATAGTGAAGCAGCAGGCGTAGGCACCGACTTCAAAGCCAAGGTGGAAGGCACTGAGGCTGAAGTTGGGGGCATGGCAGCTGCACAGGCTGAAGGCTCTACTGAAGTGGATGGCATATCGGCTGTCTGTGCAGGTACCATCGATGGCTCATCAGACTGGCCAATGGTGGTAGAAGGCTGACCCTTTCTCTTAGGGTTATGTGCATCCATTAGAGAATACCATGAGAAGGGTTTCTTCGCCCGCACCTTCGTAACAAAATCCTTCGGCTCCACCCCTGCATCTGTAAGGTACTCAGTGATAGTGTTAGGATACGGGTAGGAGGTGTCATTCTTGGCGACCACAGACATGTTGTCCGATATCACGGCACCCACATTGATCGGGTACCCGACCATAATAAAGGCGAATAGAACTGCTCGCTGCATAGGAAGGTTTGTTTCATTCTGGCATGGGTCTAGTCTGCTGCATACAAAAGTCTGCCATCCCTTTGCCTCGAAGTTCAGGGTGTTCCGGTGAATAGGAATCCCTGTTGTGATCCATGGTGGTGGTGACCCCGGGGCTGCAAGAATCTCAGCTAGCCATGGGCGAGCTACATCTCTCATTGCCATCTTTTCCAAGTACTGCACAGGCTCAACATCCTTAA